GTTCCGGAAATGTGCCAGGCAGACCGGGTCCGGGTCCGGGTCCCAAAATTTTCTAGTTTTGCCACCTCAAAATGGCAAAATGGCAAAATGTGGACCCGGGGACCCGGTCTATGGAACCGGTCTGGACCCGGATGGGTCCAGACCGGGTCCCCCAAAATATTTGGCCGGGTCCAACCGGGTCCTATCATTTCCCTGTGCTTTATGGTAAATATTAAATTAATATCTTTTATGCTTTGGCAAACATAGTGATAGTTGATGCAGTTTCCAGTTCATAAGGGTGTCCGGACAAATTGCCGAAAGGCGATTTACCGAATGTCATTTTGCCGAATGCATTTCGCCGAATGTCATTTTGCCGATGTGCTTTTTGCCGACGTGTCAAAAAGTCGAAATGCTAAAAGTCGAAATGCCATTTGCCGACAAGCCTTTTTGCCGAAATGCCAATTTGCCGAAATGCTTATTAGTCGAAATGTAAATTTGCCGAAATGCGATTTGCCGAAATTTCGATTAGTCGAAATGTCAATTAGTCGAAATGTACTTTTGCCGAAATGTAAATTTGCCGAAATGTAAATTTGCCGAAATGTAAATTTGCCGAAATGTAAATTTGCCAAAATGTCAATCTGCCGAATTGACAGTTTGCCGAAATGTCAATTAGTTGAAATATAACTTTACCGAAATATCAATCTGCAAACCTAGGTTAGGTTTAGGTTAGGTTAGGTGGTGTTTATATACTTATGTAGCACCGATCACCAATTTACTTTTGGTGCAATCCCCAAGTAAGAAGCAAATCACATGATAGGTATCCTTTGACCCAGGGCTGCGGAGTCGATGGATTTTCGGCGACTCCGACTCCGACTCCGACTCTGGCTTTCAAAAACGAGCTCCGACTCGGACTCCGACTCCGGGCAGAATTGTCGACTCCGACCGACTCCAACTCCCGACTCCGACTCCGGAGACCTAGCAGGGCTGCGGAGTCGACAGATTTTCGGTGACTCCGACTCCGACTCCGGCTCGGGTTTCTAAAATCGACTCCGACTCCGACTCCGGTCACCACTGTCGACTCCAACCGACTCCGACTCCGACTCCGACTCCAACTCCGACTCCGTAGCCCTGCTTTGACCTCCTGATTTCATAACTAATAATTATTCATGGCACAAGCAAGTTTAAAAGCACCAATACCATGTGGAAATAAATATCAAATTGCTCGTGGCGAAGCAGTGCAGTGCCGACGGCAATGCCTTAGGAGAGAGTACAGGCAAAGGTAAGTCAAATATTTTTAGGTTAACCCTCGCCGGCCGAGAGGGTGCGGGTGCCGCACCCCCATAGGGTTTTTTCGCGATAGCTCCGAACACGCTGGCGATAGAGAGCTGAAACTTGGCATAGCTGACCTTTAATTCAAGCCAGATCTTCTTACACCAACCGCATTTTCAGGTCAGGTCAGGTCACCGACCTATGACGTCATAAGTGAACCTCTGCACGGTCTTCAGATGTCGCAACTTCGCAACGCCCTCACGGCCAGAGGAGCTTTCACAGGGAAATGAAACATGCAGGACCTAATATACATTACGAGTCTCACAGCTTGTATGTCTCAGATTTTCCTAAAGGTTATTTGAGGTCAGGTCATTTTCGTGACCTCACCATTATAAGTCAAGAAGAAAAATGAAAACTGCTATTCTGGCGCCGGGAACGACCTCTAACTATCTCCAGCACACAGAATCGTGATTTGACGCCATCCTTGCAAGGTTAGATGCGTAACTTTTGCAATGCTGACCTTGCGTGACGTCATTCATGACGTTATCAAGGTCATATTAGTTTTCGTCAATAACTCCCGATCAAATTGAGCTAGTGAGTCGGGAAAGCCACCAATGGACTCAGGAAGACCTGCCGAATCGAATGATATGCGACATGACCTCTTTCCACCAACTTCATGACCTGGGGGTGCTGACCTGACCGTGACCTGAGGTCAACACCATAAGTTGACCTCAGTCTCAGTCTCAGTCTAGGGTAAGTTGACCTGACCCAAACAAAAAATATATCAATTGACGGGCCTAAGCAAGGCAAACACGATGCTGCCAAATCGCGGCTCTGCGGCCCTTTGTGGCGAAGTTATTCGCCAAGAACTGAACCGTACCTTGGGGCACTTGACCTGACCTCAGAGGTCACCGGTTGACGTAGGACCTTAAAATTGGGTATCAATCTCTGCGTCTCGTAACAGCGCACACGCTCGTTTTTTTCCGCGACGCGCCAGCTCCACCAGGGGCGAAACGACTAATAAGCATTTCGGCAAATAGGCATTTCGGCAAAAAGGCATGTCGGCAAATGGCATTTCGACTTTTTGACACATCGGCAAAAAGCACATCGGCAAAATGACATTCGGCGAAATGCATTCGGCAAAATGACATTCGGCAAATCGCCTTTCAGCAATTACCACCTCGGCCGGCGCGTATGTAGAAAACCAATAGGTCCGGTGAGGGTTAAATTGTTGTGTATCTGGCTTCAGGCCGAAGACCTGAAGCCTGATGCACAATTAACCTAAAAATAATTGACTTGTCATTGTCTGCAATCTATTCATGCGAGTATCTTCTTCCTTTTCCACGGGTAGGAAAAAATCAGTAGGTCAGGTTAGGTAAGGTTTGGTTATGTTTTTCTTATACTTTGGTGACATGTAAGTGGGTTTATTTACCTTTGAAAAGCGAGTCGGTCCTAAAGTTAATACTTACGGGTCAGGTTAGGTTAGGTTAGGTTAGGTTAATTTCGGCTAATTGGCATTTCGGCAAATTGATATTTCGACTAATTGACTTTTCGGTAAGTTGACATTTCGACTAATTGACACTTTGGCAAATTTACATTTCTACTAATTAACATTTCGGCAAATTAGCATTTCGGCGAAATGACATTTCGACTAATTGACTTTTCGGCAAATTGACATTTCGGCAAATTGACATTTCGGCAAATTTACATTTCGACTAATTATCATTTCGGCAAATTAGCATTTCGGCACATTGACATTTCGGCAAATTGACATTTCGGCAAATTGACATTTTCGACTTATTGCACGTCGGCAAAAAGGCTTGTCGGCAAATTGCATTTCGACTTTTAGCACTTCGCCCTTTTGACACGTCGGCAAAAAGACACGTCGGCAAAATGCATTCGACATATTGACATTCGGCGAATAAGCATTCGGCAAAATGCATTTCGGCAAATTGTCCTGTAACCGTTCATAATTCCCAATTCCACTTTTGAATTTGAATATTCCTGCAGATTGGGCTACCTATTCTATAGCATACTGGTCAGTCTTGCTTTAATTTCTTATCTTGTCACCTTCAACAGAATAAACAAGTTCTAAGTGCTAGCAATCCATAAAACATTTCACCAAATGTTTGTACGGATCACTTCCATTCAGTTTGCTGTACAAAACCTAGCAATATTTTGAGCTGTAGAAATCAAATACCAATAACATATGTAGGTAAGTAGGTATGACTGAAATCCATTTATAAATGGACACAAATCCAATTGAAGCAAGGCTGACCAGTGGCATTCTCACCTGCCTTTTCAAAGACATTGACATACCAAAGTCACTATGCCCACCGGAAATCAGAGTTCATGTTTGATATTCAAATGCATTTCATAACTCAAACAGCTTTGAAATTATTTCTATCACGGCCAGAAGACAACTCATAAAACCAACATGCCCTTTCATAAATCCATAAAGCTAAAAATGAATCCAAGGCATTCCCCAGAAACCGTAGTATTGATTAGATTTTTAACCAACTGGCGTCGCATGGTGGCGCTAGCAGAGCGTATTATACATATAGCTCTCTACTAGCGCCATCATACGGCAGCAGCTGGCAAAAAAACTTAGTTAATACCAGGGGGGTGCGCTCCGGGCTTTTAACATTACGAAAAGTGGAGACAGCTTCGCTAGCGCTGTCAGCAGCGTAAGCATTCTAAACAACAACTGCAGTAATCCCACCAATCAGCGTACGACAATACTCGACGCTCATTGGCTGATAAGCCAGTGACGATTTTGGGGGCCAGAGCGTTAGAGGTAACCTATAGCAGCACGGGCCGCTAGGTTTAGGACTTGATTTTGACATTATTCAGGCCAGTCTGATAATAACTCTGGTCGGTTATGAAAACTGCAATTCATTCTAGTAGTGGTCCGACAAGTCTTTTTGCTTTTTTCTAAAACAATTCGTTGAAAAATGAGTTGTTAGATGCGTACTCATGCCAAATTTGCCCCGTTACCATGGCAACCTGAGTTTGTTTGGTCCCCAGAGTCGCGGTTACTAAATTCATTGTTGTCCCCAGTTTTTCGTCGGGAGCGTTCTACCTGGTTTACATAGCCTTGGTTAATACCAATGCCCTTCTCCAAGGCCAATGATTCCGTGTTGATGTGAAAATGGCGCATTTGAGCGTCATATATGCTATACCTTACGCACGCTAATCTACTGCATAAAGGTTACAATTTTGGAACACGTTTGGGAAGAAATCAAGTAAGTCTCAGAACCCTTGTTATTTATACTATATCTAAGTACTAACAAAAAATGTGGTTTGTTTTCTACGTTAATAAATTGGCACTTAAAGGGACAGTATCACCATTTTGATGAAATTTGACATTGCATAGGCCCCACCTTTCTGGTCCGGGAACTGAAGACCGATCCTCGAAGCTCCACACCGTTATCCCGCTATCGCCGCTCAAAGTACGAAAGGTGTACCACACTTTGAATCGTGCTGAATCGTGCTTCACTATCTTCACTTTTTAAATGTTTGCGCCGTTTTGAATTGACCGCCAGTAATAAAACTTTTACCCTGGTCATTTCATCAAATTTTATAAAGCCAAAACGTTTTTCGCACTTATTCATCACCGTTAAATTCATTAAATAGTCGTAGGCAATTTCCGCTGTTTCCTTCGGATTCTAGCGGCTCAACAAAGGAATTCCTCCAGCTTGAATCACAATTTCCCTCCAATGTATGACGTTTATCACGTGATTGTCACGTGATATTTTCTCCCATTGTCAATTGTCACGTCCAATTGTCACTCCCTCCAATTGTCACGTGATATTTTTATAGGCAATATGTAGGCGTTCAACTAGTGTTAAGAGTAAGAACTGCAACTTTCGGTGTTCGATCGTAGAGGGCGGGCCTATCTGCCTGCCGGCGGAGGTCGCTGACCGGTCGCAGGGCAGTGTGTGATCGGAGCCGAGCGCAGAGAGTGCGGCACCTGTACTGAAGTGTTATCTTGATCGGGAAGCAAATACAAGTGAGTGCGACACGCTACAAATACCTAAGGCTACCTCTCCGTAAGGACAACTCAATCAGAAGAACGACCGCGTAAGCGTAGCGTCAATAATGTATTATCTGCGCCAGTTCTGTAGTAATTTTGCATGCTTCCAAACTGGCGGCCATGCTTGTATAGTGGTGGTTCGCTCATGAAAATGAATCATGAAAATGAAATGTGGTTGCAATATTTTTCACCGAGTTCGGTCCTCAAACTATGTTTTTCTGATTCAGAAAAACAAGAAATGCTAGTAAAAAAAAAATCAGCTCCATACATTGATTTTTTTTTCGATGATACTGTCCCTTTAAGTCATGATCGCAACCTTGCAGTAGGTACTTAAAAGTTTATTGCCATTTGCCATTACGATTTTGCAGTGCTTTAACCCCAACAAAATTTTGCAGTGATTTAACGCCTGTTTTGTCCTTGCATTGCTATCGTGTCGACATTTCTGGCGGACCTCACAAAGTTTTGATGTTTCTATTTTGATTTTGAATGTTTTCTCGTTTGGGGCCTTGGATAATTGATAATATTTGTAAGGACTAATGAATTAATTCTTTGAATAATTTCGGCACGCATGAGTAAAACCTTGTCGGAGAAACCTCCGCACAAGTCTTACTCATGCGTGCCGAAAATCAAGACAAATCAAGAACAAGACATGAGCTGGTTAGACACTTGCCAGCAGAGACAAACACGAATCCAAGAACGAGTCAGACGCATCGAGCCATCGAACATGAGCGCATCCCGCTGATGTGTGCGATTGTACTGTCGTGTGTTAACCCTGAGGTGAAACGGCGCTATGGCCGGAGTTAAACTGGAGATAAGCCAGATTACGAGGGGATAACTATGGGAAAATTGCTAAGGAAATTTAACGAGTAGGTTCGACCGAACGGCTGAAACCATACTCCGTTGAGATGCAAAACGCATTGGATTTTCGGGGGGATACTGGCATCAAAGGTCGTCCATAAGGGCGCACCGCCAGTATTAGGTTCATGGGACGGTCTCAACTGCCGGAGCGACGCCCGAGCTCTGAGAGCACGTGTCCGGACGGGCACGTACCGCGCAGAGACTGAGAGCCGACTGACTGCCGCTCCCAGTCCCGACCCCAGGTCAGTTCGGCCGGCGCCGGGGGCTAGCCGCCCGGCCCGGCCCTCCGATTGGCCGGCGCTACAGCGAGCGCGGGCAGCGGCCGGCGGAGCGCCCACCAACGCGATACAAGGCACACAAGCATCACAGCCCCGTGGTACGCGACGCAATAACAAACACAACAATCGATAACAAGTAACAACACAAATACACTTCTCACGCGGCGGCACACCAAATCACGCCGGGACGGTCGCCGACGGGTCCCGACGGGGAGGGTAGGGGAGAACGCTGCCGCTGCCCGGCACTGACCGCTGCGCCAGAGCTGCCGGTTTTACTTCGCAGGGGCCCACACTCCACAGTGGCTAAGAGTTAAGATACTGACTAAAAATAAAAAATAAAAAGAAAAAAAACTGAAAATGGGGGCACCACCAAAATGAAGTGGACGAAATCCGTTGAGTTTTTAATTTTGGGTATAGGTAAGGCAGTGGCGTATCCAGGGGGGAGGCCAAGAGGCCATGGCCTCCCCCTTTGGGATCAGACATGCAAGTGGGCCCTTTGGGTCACTTGAGTGCAGTAACGTACCCAAGGGGGGCCACGGGGGCCCCTGAGGTCCAAGGATGACTCAGGGGGACCAGCGTGACGAAGGCGTTCTGGGTCTCCCTGCCTTAATCCAGTACTATAGACAGAACGTCTTTTACTCGGAAGAAAAACTAATATCAAAGAGCGGTATCTATCACAGTGACGGACACAGAGCACCCCTAACTACCTGAGAGCCCCTGGCTACCTGAGGGGCCCTCTAGTTACCTGAGGGTCCCCCTGGTCACCTGAGGAGCCTCTGGTTATCTGACGAGCCCCTAGTTACCTGAGGGGCCCCTGGTTATCTGAGGGGCCTCTGGTTTTCTGAGAGGTTCCTGGTTGTCTAAGGGACCCCCTGGCTACCCGAGGGGCCCCTGGTCACCTGAGGGGCCCCTGGTTAGGTATCTGACGGGCCCTGGTTACCTAAGGGCCCCTGGTCACGGGACCCTGTTTACCTGAGGGGCCCCTGGTTACCTGAGGGACCCCTGGTTATCTGAAGGACTCCTGGTAAAGGACCCCTGGTTACGAGGGCCCCTGGTTACCCGAGGGACCTCTGATTACCTGAGGGGCCCCTGGTTATCTGAGGGGCCCCTAGTTACCCAAGGGTCCCCTGGTCCCCTGGATGGCCCCTGGCCAGTCATCTAAAGAAGCCTGGTCACCTGAGGGGCCCATGTTTACCCGGGGAGTACCTGGTTATCTGAAAGGGCCTCTGCAGTCACATGAAGGCCCTTAGTTGCTCGAGCAGCCCCTGGTATAACCGGCACCTGATTTTCAGAGGATACCGTGGTCACGGTAACCTGGTGAGTGGTGGGCCCCTGATCAGTTGAAAAGCCCCTGCAGTCACCTGAGAGGCCCCTGATTACCTAAAGGGCTCCTGATCACTTGGATTCAATGGCATAGCCAGGGGGCGAGGAGACACGTGTCCGTTATATGGTTTAGGGTCCCCTCGGGCCCGAGGGGCCCTGCGGTGCCAATTGACGTCAGAGGGTCCGCGCTGGCCACGGTTCAACTGGAAAGGAGTGAAAGGACACCACGGTGCTTTTGAGAACACGTCATGAGCTCTTATGTAGCCACACTTTTCTCCAGAAGGGCCCCACCCCAGGTTCTGAAGGGCCTTGCCGGCCTCTGAGGGTCCTTGAAGGCTAATGAGGGATCAGCTGTAAGGGCCCCACACCTGTTTGTTATGCCCCCACGGCCCACACCAGTGTTTCTGAGGGCCCTCACAATGGCGCCTGGGAGGGCCCTCACCGCCACCTCTAAGGTCCCCACACCAGTGCCTCTTAACGGCCCACAAGGAGCCAGCGCGCAGCCCTCTAAGGCCAGCCGTGGAGCCTTCTAAGGCCAGCGTGGGGCCCTCTTAGTCCATTGTGGGGCTTTCTAAGGACAGTGTGGGGCCTTCTAAGGCCAGTGTGGGACCTTCATGTTCAGTGTGCTGTGTGGGGCTGTCTATGTCCAGCTTGGGGTCTTCTAAGCCCAGCGGCGTGGGGCCTTGTGAAGTCAGTTTGAGGCCCATTGGCCACTGAGACCAGCTTGGGGCCCTCTGAAGACAATGTGGAGCCCTCTGAAGCCAGTGTGAGGCCCTCTGTGACCAGCGTGAACCCTCTGAGGCCAGCGTGGGGCCACCTGTCATCTGACTTCAGACGCTGGTGCTGGGCCCTCAGAAGCCAGCACGGGACCTTCATAGGCTGGCGTCGGGCCATTAGAGGCCACTTCGAGGGCCTCGGCAGCCATACTTCAGATCTTATGCATGTTTGAGCCCCCTGAGGTAGGAGTGGCCCTTAGAAGCCGGCGCGGAACCCTCAGAGGGCAGCATGGGCTTCTAGAGACCGGCGTGGGTTCGAGAGCGGCATAGGGCCATTAGACTGACTCAAAGGCTCCAAAAAGCCAGCGTGGGGTCCTGGGAGGTCAGCATGGGTCTCCTGAGGCCATTATAGGGCCGGCTGAGGCCAGAGTCGTTCACTCTGTTGCCGAAGAGGGGCTTTCAGAGGCCAGAATGAGCCTTCAGAGTTTTTAGATTGCCAAGTGTGCCTAAAAAGGCTCCCTCACGTGGCGAAAGTGGCAAAAAAAAACCGCACCTGTGCGTGGTTTAAGTATCCTACCACTGGGGCCCCTAAGGTAAGGGTGGGGCCCCTTGAGCAGGTTTGGCCTCCCCCTTTTCAAGATCCTGGATACGCCACTGAGGTAAGGGGCACCACTTCGATTCATGTATTGACTTTTGCCAGCACTCCACATACACCGGCGTGGCTATTCTGTGCCGATAGTCACAATTTTTTCATGACCCTCCCCTTGGAGTTTTCCTGGATCCGCCCCTGTCTAAAATACAAACTGTGATGCGAAGTGAAATGACCATGGCATGAGTTTTTTACTTTGCAACACAAGTATGCCCAATTGGAAAGCTGAAACTATTTTCTTCTTGCTATACCTACAACTGTACACAATTTTCATAATGAATTTCGGGAACGGGTCCATCTGGTTCCAACGCTGACTTAGACCGGGTCTGACCGGTTCCAGAAATGTGCCAGTCAGACCGGGTCCGGGTCCGGGTCCCAAAATTTTTTTCAGTTTTGCCACCTCTAGTGCTCAAACCGGTAAGTGCAAGCCAGGGACCCCATTTTGGCTATCTGAACTCAAAACTAATGTTAAGGTGGAATGGTCACTTTAAAAGTCATCCCAGTGCTCCCTGTTTCCCAATTATTCCCGCTCTCTTCATCATGGGGCCACTATCCCAGGGCATATTTTAACCCGCGCCCTGATGGGGGGGGGGGCATTTTGGCCCCCCCTGTGGTTTTTCTTAAATAGCGAGAAAACGGCGGCGCGCAGCGCCGCAAAATTTTGGGTACCTTACCGGACATCAATTTGACACCTTCACACAAAATTTCAAGTCACAGGTCACCTCAGGTCAGGAGTTATTGAGGTCAAACTGAGGTCATGTTCGAGTAAAAATGAGCAAAAAACATGACATCTTGAAACGCTCACCAATTCTACAGTTCACAAGCAATTTTAAAGTTCTTTATGTGGTTGTGTAGAGAAAAGACGGCGCTACAAAACTGCTATCTCGGATTTTTGAAATTTTTGGATTTTGACCCCCAAAAATCAAAAAATTGATTTTTTTAGAAAAACTCAAAAAATTTCCAAAAATTTTTCGAATTTCGAAAAAACCGGAATATATGTGATAGTCCCTGCGCTCTTCGATATACATACCAAATTTTAGATCGATAGCTCTTTTTTTGGCCAAGTTATAGCGAAAAAAACTGTTAAAAATTGATGACGTCAAATTTTTGAACTCAATTTTTAGCAATTCTAGACCTCGTAGCGCAAAACGG